GTCAGATATACAGAGAGGAGGAGAGAGAGAGAGGAAGATCTTCCTTCCGATGGTTCACTCCCCAAGTGAGCGCAATGGGTGGAGCCGAGCCAATCCGAAGCAAGGAACCAGGAACCTTCTCCAGGTCTCCCAGGTGGGTGCAGGGTCCCAAGGCTTTGGGCCATCCTTGATTGCTTTCCCAGGCCACAGGCAGGAAGCTGGATGGGAATTGGGGCTGCCGGGAAAGGAACCAGCACCCATATGGGATTCTGGTACATTGAAGGCAAGGACTTTAGCTGCTAGGCCACCGCTCTGGGCCCAAATACATTTCATTTATTGTTTATTTTTGAAATTTATCATACAATTCTGTATAGTCTGGGATTCCCCTTCCCCCATTTCCCACCCCCAGATTGATTTTTTCCCATAATGTCACACTCTTCTAAGGAGTTACAATTCCATTCAAGTGTGCCCTGACAAGACTGGCACAATGTCAGACAGTCCATCCAAATACATTTTTAAAACTTTAGCATAAATAGTATAGTTGGGGCTGGCATGATGGCTCAACAGGCTAATCCTGCAATTTGCAGCATTGGCATAGTATATGGATACCAGTTCTAGTCCTGGATGTTCCACTTCCAATCCAGTTTCTTGTCTATAGCCTGGAAAGGCAATGCAAGAGAGCTACAGTATTGCTTGGCAGTGAGAATTTTTCAAGTCAATTACAGAACTGTATGGAATCACTGTCTTTAAAAGTGTTTGGATGTTGACCAAATGTTACATGGTCTGGAACTGTATTTGTTCCTTGTGGCATCTTTATTATGTCTGCTGGGTCTAAAATTCAGTTCTTATTTGTCAGTTCTCTTTCTTGTAAATTCTTCAATTTTCTCTATTAGTTTACTGAAGTTCATAGTTCATATGTTAGAATTTAGTAAATGTGAATTTGCATTTTAAAGCTATCTTCCTGATGTGATTGGTTTGAAACTGAGATTGGATGTTTGCTGTGTTCTGATTCTGCAGAATGAGATCTTTTTGAGAATGCTACATTTGTCCACCTTTGCTGATTTGGAAGTAATTTAAATGCCAATGTGGCATGATGTCCAAACCTTTGAATAGATGACAGAAAGAAACACTGTTTTGTTCTGCTTTCTTTCATTTCTGTTGTCCAGTTTTTCTGTTGGAAGTTACCTGACTACATAGTGCTGGAGGTTTTGAAGGTCAGTGTTTTCTGACCACTGTCGTCGTCCCCTCAGTGAGTAGCAGCAGCAGGTGCGGTGTTAGGTATTCATTGCAGCGGACAGGAGCGAGCCAAGCAGGCTTTGTCCTTTGTGCTCCTTGCAGGAGCTGGAAGTTATTTAGTGCCTCCTGTCCTCCTGACTCACTAGGTGTCAAACTGCAATTTACATGCCTCCTCTGGAAGCAGACTTTGCCCTTTGCCCAGTGCTCAGAGAATGGGGAGGGTGGGGAGATGTCTTTCTGCACTCTTGGCAAACCTGGTGCAGGTTAACCTTCACTGATGTCTAGAATTGAGGGCTGGTTGCCACTGTGCTCAGAGCATCCCTCCCTCATCTTCCTGTTGTTCGTAATCCAAGAGCACTCCTCCCCATCCTCCAACCCTTGCAAATGTCATGTTTGAGAAACCTTTGATCGGATCCCCTTGACAGCTGTGACCATTTGCCAGGGAATGAAGCCTATTTTAATATGCTAACTCAAATTTCTCCTTCCTCCTTCCAACCACAAATAGTTTTCAAATTAACATCTTTATTTTATGGAGCACACCCAACTTAGACTACTGTTTTCTTAAGGATTAAAAAGGGAGCACCATTGGGTAGGAGAAATAACTTACAAGTGGTGGGAGCTCTTTTATCTGCCAGTGGCCACCTGGATATCTGTAACATCTTTTGTAGGCCACACAACCTTATGTACTTAAAATTAGCCTGCTACAGATTTATTGGTTTTGAACCCTGCCTGCAGTTTCTTGGCAGGATCAGACCAAACAATTTTGCAGGTCTCACACAGCCTGTGGCTCATTCAGACAATCCCTACCTGTCAGGTCTTCAAGGGAGTAGAATTACCTGAAAATGACCTCGATCCACAAGAGCAAGTGCATGTATGAAGAAAAAACAAAAGGTAAAGTAATACAGAATATTGCAGCCTGTTTTATTCTAAAACCACAGTGCAAAATTCTAGGAAGCTAGGCTGTATCGCTTGGCTTTGTATTAGCACTGCCATGCTAATACAAAAAGGATGGTTTAAAGAGGTTGGACATGTGAGATGGTTTGACAACCCTGAGAATCTAGCCTGTGAAATAAAATCTTATCTGTCATTCTATATCCCCTTAGGATCTTTGAAATCCCTAAACAATACCAGGTGAGGGTCCTAAATAAAAGCCAACAGGGGAAAGTGTGGGAGGGGAAAGTGTGGGAGGGGAAAGTGTGGGAGGCGAAACTGGCCATCCCACCTGCAACAATCCAGTCTTCTCTACAGAAGATTAAGCCTAACCAATATCCACAGAGAAATGATGTGGGTAGTGGGGTCCTCACAGATGCCTCTCTCGACCACCACTGTGACCAAATTTGAGTAATTTTACTTTGTTTTCAAAATAAATTGCTTGAAAGAAATAACCGAAAATGTGAGAAATATGAGCAAGAAAAAATATTTAACATAGTTAACTTGTAGGATGCGGTGGAGGGCAACTAATTAATGAATTTGCTTAGAAAATGAAGAGTGGGAACATGAGAAGTTTATCATTTATGACAGAGCCAATTTCAAGTACTCTTGTTTAGACCCTAATTAGACAAAATTGTAAAAAAAAAAAATCAGACTATTGGGAAAATATAACTCTTGATGTGATACTAAAATTTCCATAAATGTGACAAGTTCACAGTGTTTTCAAAAGTATATTTACAAATGAATTGATGCAATGCCTGAGATATGGACAAGACATAAATGCTTACATGAAGGTAATCTTGGAACCTGGATAATGAATGAGTAAATGGAGGGGGAGGTCCTGATAACTCTTCTCTACTTAAGTTTGCAATTTTTCATGTTAAAAAGCACACTGCAGTTGATTTTGAATTCAGATATACTCGGTTATTAAAAAGGTGATGTGCCACAACAGATCTCTGGAGCTCTCTGTGTCTAAGCCGGGAGGTTCACTTTATGGGTCATGTGCCTCTGGGGAGCACTAACTATAATTGACATAAAGAGTTTTAAAGAAGAAAATCATGCATTTTCTTTGTAAATACAAGTTTCTAACATACTGCAAGTTTTACATAAAGCCTACTTAGATATACTTTGAATTTTCAGATAAGAGGAATATGAACTTGATTCTCACCCCAAATCTAACACTACATGTTTTAATGAAGGAACTGTACTTGAATGATCTGGTTTGTGAGACACGTACATTTCAGTCCAGAAATATGACTGTTAGAATTAGAACTAGCTTGCTGCTGCAGATTATTTTTAACTACACAGAAAAGATGCAAAATGTAGTGTTTGCTCTTAGTTTATTCATTTATTTTGCAGGACTCTTTGATGTTCCGAATATGTACTGTTTGGAGGTACGATGCATGCAGAGCCTTTTAAAGTTCCTTTTGTACAATTTCAACTCAAAGAACCTCATTCACAGCATACACAGAAATTTAAGCGAGACATGGTATTTACAAGATTTAATAAGTTTTTGCTGCTTTAATGAAGAAACTGATCAATTCTTTTACAGTAGGAAAAGAAACATGGACATTGGGTGTCGTTATAAATAAAAATTCAGAATTGCTCAGTCTCAAAAGCAACTTTTCATGGCTTTAGAAATTAAAATTGAGTCATCATTCTATTGATCTCTGAAATTCCCAAGCCATGCAAACTCTATTTGTATTAAATATTTGGGGATGCAAATAATACAGGAAAAAATGTCTGGTGAAGGTGAAAACATCAGAATTAACTTTTACAACAGGAAAATACTGTTAATTCTTTCAGAAAGATACAGTAGTGGTGCAACACAGACAGTGCCCAGTTTATTCTGATTTTTAAACATAACATTTCAATTGTCATTTCCTTCTCTACAGATACACAAACACACACTGTCACATGGACTCACTCAAGGTCTAACAATGGTACAATGTTAAAATAATTCCATTTTTAACTATTAAGGGACATTTTCACATTCCAGGAGAACATCCTTGATAATTTTGAAGGAAAATTCTTCTATGCCTTATATTCTTCTCATTGATAGTGTCAGAAAGACTCTGCAGTTACCTTTTAAAAGACTATTCAAAATTGAATTGCCAAGGAAAGTTGTATATGAACCCTAGATAACTGTGACAAAGACAAAATTTAAGGAAACACTCTTTTTTGATAATGAAAAAGTACTAAAATTGAGACCAGCTCTTAAAAATTAAACTGCTTATCACACTTCCCATTTCTTTCAGGGAAATAAAGTAGCAACACTTGCCACCACCATGAATGTGTCCTAACACTACATTTTTACAATGCTTTCCATTTTGTTTCTTTAAAATCCCGTCTTGTCTCTGTGTCCCTGACAAGGTCAACACAAACTTAAAACACTGGACAATGCTTAGAGTGTTTCTGCTTCCTCAATTACTGCTATAAATTTGGAGTAGTTCTTTGGAGTAGTTCTTTTTACTCCAAATGTTAAGGGGCAGTTACATGAAGAATGGCAAATGTGCTTTCTAAAATCCCAGTTCACAAAACAGTGACAAAATGTAAAATGTATAGTCAGGTCTGTATGTCACCAGATACAAATACAACCAACTAGTCATCCTTTAAGAAAGCAAGCCTCGTCCCCGAAACAAGAACCACAGCCACCAGCCCCGAGCACACAGGCACCTCAGCAGCCAGGCGCCCTCTCACTTGTATCCTCCAACATGCCAATTGCATTTGGAGATCTTTTGTGAAAAGGCACCTGGAAAGCTGGGAGAATTGTTTCTAAAACTGGTCATAGCCAAGTAGTCTATATGTGGGACACATTTAAATGGATCCAACTCAGTGGGGTCAAATCACTTTGCTCCTTTTAAAAACTGAACACAGTCCAGGTTGGCATACGAAATGTGTGCAAAATTAAACACTAACATGTACAAAACCGGCTTAAAATCTGATGTCTCCTACTCCCCCATCCATACCTATCAAACAGACTGATTGCTCATTTCTCCTTGCAGATGGAAGCAATGATTGCCTAGCTATGTCACCAAAGTACTGATACCATGCATCTGTTATGTGATACCAGCTTATTAATCTGCATGTGTTTCCATGCAATAGCTTTAGAATCATCTATATGGTTTTAATAAAGCATCACGCTGTTTTCAGACATGCTATTTATATTCTCACTGATGGCTGCCACTTGAGTGTGTCACCAAGAATCCTGGTTAACCTTGTAGCTAAAACTCCAAGCAGCAGACATACTGTCCCTGAAACTGTGACCTGACACCAAGTGGGGCTGACTCTTTCGGGGATGAAACCATACAAAGGCAAAGGCATCCTGACACAGCAGGAGGACTAATAGATTGTGGAGACGGACAGGGACCAGTGTTACACAGTCTTTAAAGAGCGCTATTTTCAGGCCCATGCTTTGAAGCCCATCTGCTTTCTCATTGTTTTCAGTTTTGCCACAGTTGTAGGAGAAATGTTTTATCAGTGTAATTATATAACCATGCTGAATTTGCAAGAAAATTGGATATACTTTAGGGAATTCTTTATGTATAAAAAAATTTTGCAAATCTGTTGGCAGCATGTGAAATTATTTTGATGGAAACAGTAGGGGCTGTGCCTTTGGTTTCTTTACGCTATTAGGAGCAGCTTGTTTTTCCAGGTCTGCCAGAGATTACTGCTAAATTAGGATACAGTGACAGCACAGGGGGACAGAGTGTGTGTGCGTGTGTATCTGGTATACCTAAGACTACATACAGCCTCGGGTAAGTTTATTGCTGTTTATACTCACCAAAATGGAGATTCCAAAATTCAATTCTGAGTAAAACTGGAAATTCAACAATGGTAGAAATGCTGATAAAATGTGCCATTGTTAATTTCCCAGTGATGCAACCTAGTGAGTCGCCTGATTTGACATCTCGGCAGGATCCACATTCTGGAATACTCCTTTATAAACAGGAGTGCTTTACTAGAACCACCTGAATGAACTTTTGCTGTCAGAATACAGTTATGATAAATTTAGAGTTTCTTGTTTCTGAGTCCACTGTATTCACCATTCTTAATATTTCTTAGCTAGCCTTCCCTTGCGCCCCCAATTATACAGTGTTCAACTCTGATATTAGCAATTTACCTCACAATGGTGTATTAACATGTGCAAATAAATCATTGAAGAGCTAATAGATTTTTTCTCAGCTAAATTAGGATTATGGCACAAAGTATCATCTGTGCTGTAAACATCATGAAGCCATCACAACATCGGAAGGAGGAAATGCAAAGGCCCTAGGGGCTGCAAACGTTTCCTTAAGAACCACAGTTGAGCTCAAGATTTCCAAACGGATTCTGGAATGGACTTGCATTTGGCATACATTCACTATGCTATTGGCAAAGCGCAGTTTTATGAGAATGTCACTTATAAAAATCATACTTTGCGAGGGCTTGTTATTTTTAAAACCAGTGGCCTAATGAAAGCATGCAGTAACTTAAAATGCGCATCTATGGGGCATGTTTAGGTCTTAGTTACCAGTGCTGACAGAGCCTGCTGAATCATCATACAAGCCAAAGGGGTCTTTCTATCTCTGTACTTTCAAAGAGCATGATCTGCCTAATTCCTGACTGCTACAAATCACATTTTAGAACATCTTGTTTGTGTACATATGTGTGTTTGAAATTACCCCTGAAAAAAAAAAAGCAGCAATAACAAATACCCTCATTCTGCAGAGAAAAAAAATCCTATTCTGGGTGCATTTTCCTGCTCTCCTGTCCGGTAGGAAGCAACAGGGAGCAGCAGAGGGAGCCCCGGGTGGCCCGAGAGCAGCGACCAGGTCAGTCTGCGCTCGGAATTCACAGTTTGCATAAACTGTAACATTACATACCATGATTTGAAGTTCTAGTTTAAAGATAAGGGCCACTCAGCAGTAAGTTTAGCAATGATACTGCACTGAGGAGCTCTCGACTCCTCTGTGTGTACATTCATGCAGGAGTGACTCCTTTCCTAGTTTCAAGTAGCCCTTTCTGTCTCTCACTCGGCAGTGAGCTAGAAAGGAAAAATAAAAACCTCCCCACTTTGCATTTTGTGAGCCCAGCGGCCACAGTGCCATCCCTCCTCCCCTCTCACGATTGGAAATGAAAAGGCTGGGCAGATGAATGGATTCCCGATGCTTCCTTTTCTTCTGACAAGTGCACAAACTTTCACTCTCAACCTGGTGCAGACTGTTCTGGATTCAAGTGTACCGTGGCATCTCGCACTGCTCACAGCGGTTTAGTGCCGGGTGGTTGAGAAAGGTGCAGCTGTCACAATTCCACGGAGCCCCTTCATAGTCTTCATCTTGGGGTTGCGTCCGAGGACTCTGTTTGGAGCCACTTAGATGCTCTGAGGAGACAATCCAGGGAAAATTCAATTTTTTTTCAAAGCATAATCCAAAAATGAAAACTATCACAAAAAGCAAGGGAAATTGTTTCCTGCCTTCTGGAATGTGTAAGTCAAATTAGTAGATAACAGCTACTGGAAAGAGAACTCAGTTTGACCTATGTCCTACTTGGTTCTAAGCAGTTTACTTTTCTGATGGAAGATGAAGAAGTCCAAAACTGACTGCCTTCCTTAGTTTGTTACCCAGAGAAAATGGACAGCTATGCTTTATTCCAGCCAAATGAAGGGGGAAGGAAATGTTTTATAGTATGTTAAGCAGTCTCCACAAGTGTTCCCTAACAGTGGCAGCTCACCCTGCTGCAGTACTGTGCATTCTTTAGGAAACATGTCCACGTGAGCCTTCCTGCATGAAGCCTTAAGCTTCACAATGTGCATGTTTTAGATTAATGTTTGATATGTGGCAGGTACAGTTCATAACAAAATTTTCCCTAGAAGAGTGAAGGTATAGACTCTACAGTTTTTCACTTGTCTTGGACTCCTTTCTACCTTTTTGGCATGTAAGCTTTTAAAACACCTGGCAATATCAAATGGTGGAAAGCTCCTGTTGGTCCCCAGGATTTTATAAAAACCTCTGCATTGCCCTAGCATCCTTGCCAGGTCCTTACCCCCCTCTGGCTTGGGGCTTTGTGGCTCTGCTTCTAGAGTTGATGTGTAAATCCCATCTTTCAGGAACACTCCCTATTGAGAACCAGGGTGAGTGAACAGAAAGCTGAAGGTCTCCAAGTGGAATTCATCCTGGAATCGGGCAAGCTCAGCAGGCTGGACTAACCCACCATAAAACCCCAACAGCCTCCATCAGGAATCGGAAATGAGATTAACATCAAAGGTGAGTGAGCTTTCCAAACAGGTAACAAAAAGCTTCAAGACTGTGGAAGGTTTTGTCAGTTACTATTCTGGGGCAAGCCCATCTTCCTTCCACTGGAAACTAATCAGCTGACTTCTGGTTTACAAATTTTTGTCTTTCATGACAACAGATTGGTATGGGCATTCTAGAGACAGAGCTTCAGCCTAAGGTAGGGTGAGGGGCAGCCTCAATGATGATTTTACAACAGAAAATCACTAAGCTTTTCAGCTTATCCCTATGATTATGAATAGGGCATGGCACGCCTTTCTTCCTTCAACTGCTGCTTGTCATGCCATTAGCACCCATCTTGTGCATTTGGCTCACAGCTCTAACACATGTAGATTACATACAGAGTTCTTTTTTCTTTGTCTTCTATGGAAGAATAAAGAGCATACTGTGTTACCATTGCATTTCCAGAGACGGTCTTCACTCATATAACACTCTACAGTTTTTAAAAGAACAGCACTACCTGAAACTCTCACACTGCTACTGGCTGTTAATAGGTAGGTTCTAAAAACTCAATCCTCCTCAAGGACAGATGATTTTTTAATTTACATCATGAAAAGAAAACATTTAAGAGATTAAACTCTTGCTGTTATTTTCCATCTTTAAATGTTCCTCCCAAATGTTGTCTTCAACAATTGGACAGGGGAGTGCAAATGTTAAACAGAATGTTTTTCCAAACTGCCTTCTTAAAACTACATAAGTATAAAACCTCTTTTAACCCAACTAATGCAGCATACCTGGGAACTCTCATCTATTTAGCACCATGGGATTTAATATGCAATAATAAATCACTCTGAAGTAATTTATCAAAAATACATTTGAAAGACTTATTATTTTGATCCTAAAAAAAAGTGTTGCTCATTTCATCAGTGAAGTACAATTTCAATAGAAGCATCTGAAACCAAAAGGCATTTTAGGTATCTGTTCTTGTTTGATTTACAGGGATTTAACCCTTTTTTCATAGCAAATTTGCAAAGTTTAAATATTTTAGGTCTTATGAAAATAATAATTAAAAAACCTCAAAAGGATATGCATGTTCATACAGATAAGAACTAAATACATTTTACCTTTTAATGTTTAATTCATTACAATAGGCTAAATTTCCATAAAAATCAAAAGCCTCACAACTATTACAAATAACTTGTTATTTTTTTAAAAGTTTATTTTATTGGAAAGTCAGATACACAGAGAGGAGGAGAGACTGGGAGGAAGATCTTCCATCTGCTGACTCACTCCCCAAGTGGCCACAACAGCTGGAACTGAGCCAATCAGGAGCCAGGAGCTTCCTCTGGGTCTCCCATGTAGGTGCAAGGTCCCAAGGCTTTGGGCCATCCTTGACTGCTTTCCCAGGTCACAAGCAAGGAGCTGGATGGGAAGTGAAGCAACAGCCAGGACATGAACCGGCACCCATATGGGATCCAGGTGCATGTAAAAGATTGTTAGCCACTTGGCTACTGCGCTGGCCCATAAATTGTCATTTTACTATATACTTTAAAATATTTGAAAGGCAGAGTTAGAGAAGGAGAGATGGAAACCTTGCTTCTGTTACATAAGTAGACATACATTTTAAAGATATAATATTTATAGAATAGTTTCTACAAAACTGGGTGATTAGACAGTGCTAAAGGGGAGGGTTTTAATGACAAGAACTGTAAGCAATTTCATGTGCTTTGTGCTCGGGATGGGGTTGTTCCACTTAATATTGCAAGGTGCTTTCACAGAAGAGGAATGTAACAAACAGCTAGTGGAATACTTGCACAACTCAAACATATGCAGTATTTTTAGAAACTTCACTTCAACTATCAGGATAAAGTTCAAGAAGTCCTAGAAAACTTCAATTAGAAGTTATAAAATCCAGAGCTTCCATATAATTTTGAAATTATTTGTCTTTGCTTTTCATTGTAGCTAAACTGTCCAGTACTGGTAGAGCTACCAAGCTCTTGATATGTGGCCAATCCAAACTGATGTACCCCAAAAATGTAAGATAATTCTAGGTTTTGAAGAATTAAATGTAAGAACTGTAAATAGTTCACTGATTTCTAGTTTTCATATTGGAATAGCACCTTGCATATAATGGACTGAAGATACTACAATTACATTTGTTTCCTGTAGTATAGATTTGTGGCTTGCATTGTACTCCTAGTAGAGAGCTTGGCCTAAAACTCTTTTGAAAGCCACAGAATCTGATTTTACTTCTGAGAACTCTGTGTGAGGTTAAAGTGTGTTGTTGGACATTCTACACCAACTCTGAAGCCACAAATACGAACCCTCTGCAGCTGCTGCTTGGGTGTCATGGACATCTGCCTGTACTTTGGAGGTCACACTAATTCTTCGAGCTTTTCTCTCAATTGTGCAGGGGTCCGAGGAGTCTGTGTAAGAAGAAGCAAAGCCAGTGAGAAGGGATTAAGCCATTTATTAGCAAGAGTGAGCAGGCTCACAAGAGAGAGGGTCATGTACCTACACAGTGCAGTGTTTGCCCATGCTATTGCTTGAAGGGAGGACAAGTGCCATATTTAATACTGCTGTTACACCCATACAAAGCAGTACGTCTTACAGCTTTCGCCATCCTCTTCAACTATTTCAATAGCCTATTTTACCAGTTTCCCACTTCTTTAGTGAAATAGAAATCTAAGAAGGTAAACCCAACAAATGTCATTATAAAAGTAAAATTAGGGATATTATACTTTAGCAAGTTTCAGATCAATAAATAATTGGAAAATGGACTCCAAATATGCTATCCATAAAAGGCTACTGCAATAATTATGAAGTGAAACTAAATAATTTTTAAATTAGGAGCCAAGATCAGAAGCACTTGGAAAATCAAGATCACTTCAAAATCCCATGCACAAATATGTGCTCTCAAATTATCGTGTAAATTCCAATTACCTACATGTGCTAAAGCTGAACAGATGTTCTGCAGTATAGAAAAGAACTACAAATATTCTGATTTCTTGTTAGAATACTATTTATACAGTTTGTAGATTATCAGTAAGTGCCCCTTTGTATCAATTAAATATGAGAAATGACTGACTTCCCATTATTGGCCCTAAAGAAACAAAGAAAGTTCTTGCCTCAGTTCTGAACCCATATGCAGTTTCCAGATACAATTCTGTGGAAAACACCTCCTCATAATCTTGAGCTTGATGTGTCAATACTTAACTAAGCACCCCATTTATAAGGGTAAACAACAGTAGAGCAAATATCTCCTTAAGTTCCAAAGACTAACGTGAATTTTTTTTTTTTTTTGGTTGTTTTTAAGATTTGAAGAACACCTTTCCGGCATCCCATACCTCTTCTCTGTGAATTTTGCAACAACCCTGTAAAACACAGGTAAATATTTGGACAAATCCCCTTCCGTGGTGCACAGATCAGATCTCAGCAAGGTCAGGTGGCCAAGATGACCTGGTTCAGTACTGAGGTCACAAGACATGAAGGTCACTGCTCTTTCCACCTCATAAGTTACCAATGCAAAGGTGGGGAGACTGGGTCACCACAGGAGCTCACACCCACTAAAATTCTGAACTACCAAGTGTAATCCAGAAATATTTCTCTGTCTCCCCACTCCCAATCGCTCACTCTCTAGTTATCACATTCACTATTCAGATAAACTTCAGTATTCCATTTTGATATTTCATATGTATCTGTGATAAGCCTAAGACATTTATTTTAACCAGAATACCAATACTTTTTGAGGTGCTATTAATTTAAATGATGCTGCAGGCCCAAATTGAAAAATTAACTTAGATATACACTTATCCAGGAAGCTTAGTTTAAAATATATCCACAAAGCAAGAATCTGCAAGTGTTTAACAGAAAACAAATTTGACTTAATAATCAAAACTGAGTAACTGTTACAAAACTGTGTTGAAAAGGCTTTCCCCAAAATGACAGGATTTAGTCAAGAACTGTTTAACAGAAAAAGGTGAATTCAAGAACTATATGGTACACAAAAATGATTTTATTCTCACCAACAACATAACAGGTCATTAAAATTCAGTTCTCTAAATAACCCATTAATAGTGAAACAGTGATATTTCATAGCTTTCTAGCTGAGTTTTTATTAAAACTACAGTACATTCAGAGTAGTGTGTCTGGAATAGCTCCTCAGTTTGTCAGATCCAACATGTTTAACTACATAGTCTACATACTGAACATTTGATGTACATTTAAGAACTTGCTTGCTATGCTGGCATCCATTATGAGCACCAGTTTGAGTCTCCGCTGCTCCAGTTCTGCTCCAGGTCTGAGATAGAGTTCTGGGTTCATGGCTTTGGCCAGAACTACTCCCTAATGACTGCAGACAGAAGGTACACTCCTGCTCCCTGTGACTCCACCATCTTTTAAAGGAATCTTTTTAAAAATAAAAGTGATTATAACTGACAGATTATTATAAAAAAAAAAAACCCAAAGGTACTACTAGATATTAACTTTGCCAAATTCTGTTGGCACTGAATGAGCTGGAAGGGTGAGTATTTTGGCTTAGCAGTTAACACACTGTTTAGGATGCCCAACCACTATCAGAGTGCTGGGTTGAAGTACAGGTTCTATTGTACTTCCACTTCCTGCTAATGGACACCCTGGGAAGCAGCAGGTAAGGCTCAAATATCTGGGTCACTGCAACCCATGTGGGAGACAAGATGGAGTTCCTGGTTCTTGGTTTCAGCCCACCAAGCCCTGGCTATTGCAGGCATTTGTGGAGAGTAAACCAACAGAGAGCAGTTTCCCTTGCTCCTTACTTTTGTTTTAAAATTTAAATGAAAAAACCCACAACACGGCATGGTAGCCTAATGGCTAAAGTCCTTGCCTTGCATGTGCAGGGATCCCATGGGGGTGCTGGTTCTAATGCCGGCAGCACCACTTCCCATCCAGCTCCCTGCTTATGGCCTGGGAAACAACCTAAAACAGCCCAAAACCTTGGAACCCTGCATCCGTATGGGAGACCCGGAAGAAGCTCCTGGCTCCTGGCTTCAGATTGGCTCAGTTCCGGCCGTTGCAGCCACTTGGGGAGTGAGTCAGCAGATGGTAGATCTTTCTCTAGGACTCTCCTTTCCATAAATATAATTTTCCAATAAGAAAAATCTTTTTAAAAAGAAACAACAAAACCTACAACTTTCACTGAACAGTTCTCAGCAGCATAACGATCATATATTCCAAGAAATTTCCTTTCTTTTTAATGGTATTTCATGGCTTTCACCAAGTGTCTGTTCGAATATTTTGCCGTTACATGGGGTTGTCTTTTTATTGTGATCTTATTCTGAACACCAGTCCTTTATTCAGATATTTTACAAATATTTTCTTCCAGTCTGTGTCTTGCCTATTAAATTCGTTTTTTTTCAAAAAAATATTTGTTTGAAAGCTGGATAGTTTGCATATATGAGATATATTCCATTCACTAGTTTGGTTAAACCATGGCCATTGTGGCCACTGGAGGAGTAAACTGAAGCCAGGATCCAGGATTTGGATTTCTGACATGGGTGACAGGGGCCCAAGGACTTCAGCCTTCATCTATTGGATCAAAACTGGAGTGGCCAGGACTTGAACCAGCACTTGAATATGGGACACCTATTTCGCAGAAGGCATCTGTACCACAATGTCAATTTAAAAAAAAATAGTAATCTATTTTCATTTTATCTGAAAAGCAGAAAGACAGGCATATTTTATCATCTTTGGCCCACTTTCTAAATATCCATAATGGCCAGGATTGAGCCAGGCTGAAGCCGGGAACTCAATCCTCATTTCTCACGTGCATAACAGGAATTCAAGGACTTGAGCCATTGTTCGCAGTCTCCTGGGGGGGGGGGGTTTATCAGTAGCAAACTAGTGCAGGAGCAGAGCTGAGGCTGTAACCAAGCACTCCACTATAGGATGCTGGTATCCTGAATGGCATCAACATCCTGCCACAATGCCTGTCCCCTTTTCATTTAACAGTGTCTCTTGATGACAGTGTTGAACTTTAGTAAAGGTTAAATTATCAATTTTTTTAGTTGTTTCAACTGAATATTTTGAAACATTTAAAATTTATAGTAAAAGCCTACTTCTCTATTAGAGTTCAACAAAGTACAAAGAAGATGGGCAGAAATAGTCAAATGCTATAAATAAGTGAAAAGATGTTTACCTTCCCTCATGTACAGTAAAATTTTAAAATAGTCACAGATAACTAAAATGCCTAATGATTTTTTTGACAAAGGTTTACAACAAAGTTTGACAGAACACTATAGTTTTGTTTTTATAACATAACTTCAAAAAGCTCATGGAAACAAACAGGTAGGTTTATTTTGGTGTTAAAAAGCCTGACATGACATCCATGCCTAGTTTTTCCATGATATGTTTCTATTGAATCTTTTGAAGATCTCACTACACATAGCAGTTTGCCTGTGTCAAGATAAACTTACCTTTTAATTCCCTTTTCCACAAACTTTAAGTACCCTCATTTTGCTTTCTGTATTCTAAAATTCTTGTAAAGATACTATTTTGTTGTGGAAGCTTTACAATTTAGTTTGTATTTTGAAGCGCATGATCTCACTCAAATATTGTGAGACAGAGATCAACATTTGTGTTGCCTTTTTCTACAGATGTAGCCAGTACTTTCAACCGTGCATGTTGAAAATACGTTTTTTCCAACTGTTGCTTTGGTGTTTGTCAAAAAAAAAATCAACTGAATGGGGTAAGCAAATGCCTACATCTGGGCACTGTTATCTAATGAGCCTTTTTTTTTTCTTTTGTATTCCTATGCCACATAACACTATGATTACTGTGTTGTTGGTCCTAAGTATGGTTAACCTAAGACTTAAAACTTTGCTCCTTTTAATAGTTACTTTGGATATTATAGCTCTTCATTTCCACATCAATTTTAGACTGAGAATTTTTTTTTAACAAATTCTAATGTCGTTTAAATTGTCATTAAATTATATCTATATCAATCTTGGAAACACTAGTGGTATCCCAATGATACTGATTCAACCATCAACAGTCTATCACTCTTTTTATGTCTTCCATCATTTTTCTTGGCAAGGTTTTGTAGTTTTCAATTTATGTGTGTCTGAACGAATTTATTCCTACATGTTACATGTTGTTTGGAATTATCTAATTATTTTCAATTGTTTCCTAATACATAAAAATATGACCTTATATCTTAGAACTTAGGTTCTCTTACAAATATTAATTCTACTAGTTGTCTTTCAGTATCCATGATTTTCTTCTTGCAAATTATGATGCTCTCTGAGTTACACAGTTTTCTTTTCCAATCCTTAATGTATACTGCCTTACTTATCTTACTACATGCATTAGGAATTCCAGGTTCAAACTTCCCAATCATAGTGGATTCAGGATTTCATTATTCTAGTAATGATTTAGCAACGCTGTTCCTTTTCACAAAGCTGCCAGGGAACATGTGTCCTTTCTCCCTTTCTGTATCCTTCAATGTGTATTATACCAATATTGCAGTTCTATGCTGCATTCAACTTGGTTATGATTCTCTTCTACGTATTTTACAGAAGACTTTGTTTGCATTTATATTCTTAAGGGAAATTGATCTATAATTTGGTTTTATTTTTATGGATGATGGCAATAATGCCACTATTTGGCTTTAAAATCAGGGTTTGGCTAGCTCAAAACAAAGGCAGCCTATAACAAAAGTCAAAATTTGTGTAATTGTGATGTGTCAATGTAGGTGCAATTCCTTGTCAAATGTACAACTGCGGTGTAGCATGTTAATAATGGCAAAGGCTATGCACATGTGGTAGCAGGGACTATATGGGAAATTCTAACTTCTCAATTTTGCTGTGAATTTCAAAATGATCTAAACAGTCTTTGGGCAGCAGGGAGAAGGTTGGTATCTTTTTTCCTAAAAGGTGGAATTCCATCACCAGTGATAACATTAAGGTCTAGAGTTTTCTCTGTAAGAATTTCTTTGATAATGGATTCAATTCCTTTATTATAGTTAGTATTTCATCTAATTTTCTATTCGGGCAGATTTTGAGGTAATTTGTCCATCATCTATGGTATTGAGTTTACCAGCATAAAAAAATTCATTATCATTCTAATGAATAACTTAACCTTGCATTTGTGACTCATAATCTGCTTTCATATCTGGTTAAGATCAATTTACCTTGAAGTTCACTGATTTTGTTTACCTCTTCAAATTTTTGGCTGTAAATTTTCTGTTACTGCTCTTTGACATGTCATTGGCTTTTATTTTCTTCCCTTTCCCATTCCCTTTCTTTCTTTCCCTTTGTTCTTTTCTCGACTCTTAGGAAGATTAAACTCAGTGACCTGAAATTATCTGCCTTTATCATCTGAGCATTTCATCTGTGAATTTTCGTAGAAGCACTGCTTTAACTATTGCATAGTAAACTTGGCTTTGTCCATGGCTCCTTGATAAAAGCTAAACAGTTACAGCATCAATTATTTATGATGGGCCTCTGACCATCCCTGACAATTTATACTAAATGTGGACAGAGTCCACCATTTCTCATCGACTTTGTCTTTTGTTCCCAGAGTGGCAACTTTAAAACACATTTCCTTAAATAGGACAGTTCTTTCATGATAGCCTTTGAACCAACACAGAAGGTAATACTTTCTTGGTAGTTATTTAGGCAAAATCAAGTTTAAAGACTCATTCACCCAACAGGCTAAAGAGATCAATGATATATATCTTAGCGACTTTCACTGTAAAACAGTATGTATTGTTGTCACAGAGCCCAATTTGGTACTGAGTAGTCATTTACTAAGATTCTTCTTTGTACCATTGTAAGAAATCAGACTATTCTAAGCAGATCAGAGGAGCTGACACTGTGGTACAGCCAGGTAAATCACTACTGGCATTCCATGCCACAGGAGACATGGATGGAGTTCCTGGCTGCTGGCTTAGGCTGGAACCAGCCCTAGCTCTAGCCCTGGCTGTTGTAGCCATTTCAGGAATGAATTAGCGAATGGAAGCTCTTTCTCTTTCCCTAACTCTGCCTTTCAAATAAATAAAACCAATCTTTGAAAAAGTGGAAGACAACCAAGAGAATAGGAAAAATAGTTTTAAATCATTCAAATAAAAAATCTGTGATAGTGTCTAATAGTATTAAACAATAAATCAGATATTGTACTGCAATCTAAAAATATAAAATACTCTGTACTAGCTGAGTGAAATTTAATGAGGTCAGGTATCATTTACATTGAATTTATACATTCCCTAATTAAAACAAGTCTAAGATTTAATTACACTACTACCCCAACTATTTTTATTTGCTTATCTTTAAAGATTTACTTTTTTTTTTTTTTGATTGGTAAAGCAACAGAGGGAAGAAGAGACAGAGTAAGAGACCTTCCACCTGTTGGTTTACTCTCCAAATGGCCACAACAGCTAGGTCTGAGCCAGGCTAAAGCCAGAAGGCCAGAACTCTCTGGAGGGCTGCCACATGCATGACAGGGACCGAAGTATTTAAGCCACAATCCACTGCCTTCCCAGGCACATGACCAGGGACCTAGAGCAGAAGCACAGTAGCCAGGTCCCAAACCAGCACTCGTACATCGGATGTGATTATCCCAAGTGGTAGCTAAACTCACTGTAACACAAGACCCACTCATAGGTATTTTCTTAAAAAAAATTATTTGAAAGGAAGAGACAGAGTTCTTTCATTCATTGTTTTATTTCTTTAAATGCCTACAATAGCCAGGGCTGTGCCAAACAGAAGCCAGAAGTCCATCTGGGGGCTCCCACTTGAGCGGCACAGACCCAAATACTTTAATCTATCATCTGTTGCTATCAACTGTGTGCATTAGTAGGAAGCTGAATCAGAAGCAACGTATTGGATACAACACAGGGCTTAGGAGCTGGCAGAGGGCATCAGGCTAATCTTCTACCTGCAGTGCTGGTATCCCATACGGTTACTGGTTCAATTACCAGCTATTCTACTCCAGCTTCCTACTAATGGCCTGCAAAAGTAGCAGAAAACCTTGATCCCCTACACTCATGTGGGAGACCTAGAGGAAGCTCCTGTTTCCAAGCTTGGACTGGCACATCTCTGGCTACTGCAACCATCTGGGGAGTGGACCAGTAGACAGAAGGTTGATTTTGACTCTGTAACTCTGAATTAAGTACTTGAACAGGCACTATAATATGGCATGTGGGCAGCCCAAGTGGTGATTTAACTACTGTACCAAATATTCAAATGCCTACCTCTATGGTTTTTATTTTGTGTTTTTTTTAATTTAAAATTTTATTTCTTTTTATTTGAAAGGCAGAGAGGAGAGACAGATAAGATCTTCCATCTGTTAGTTCACTCCCAAAGTGGCTACAATGTTCAGAACTAAGCTGATCCTAAGGTGGGAGCCAGGAACTTCTGAACTTCCAGGTCTCCCACAGGAGTGCAGCGGCCCAAGGACTTGGGTCATCCTCTGCTGCTTTCCCAGGCTACAATCAGGAAACTGATCAGAAGTGGAGCAGCTGGGGTATGCATTGGTACCCATTTAGAATGCCAGCGGCACACAGTGCAGAGGACTAGCTAGCTGTACAACCAAGCCAGCCCCAGTGTTGTTTCATGTCCTAATAGTCAATCTAATTTCAGTAGGCTCAGGCAAAAACTTAAAATATTAAACACATATTTTAGTTCAGATTTGACAATAAAAAAACAAGGGCTGTTAAGAATGAGGCAGAAAAATTTATATTGTGGCACAGCACATAAAACCACTACCTGTGATGCCCAGCATCCCATATAGGTACCAATGAGTGTCCCAGTTGCTCCACTTCTCATCCACCTCTCTGCTAATGGCCTGAGAAAGCAGCAGAGGATGGCCCATGTTTTTGAGCCCTGCCACCCATGTGGCAAACTGGGATAAAGATCTGTGGCCTAGCCCAGCATGGGCCTTTGTAGTCACCTGGGGGGCAGAGTGTGAATCAGCTGACTACAGATTCCTCCCTGTCTCTTGCTCTATCTTTGCAACTCTTTCAAAATAAATCTTTTCTAAAAAATTGGTACACAAAAACAAGAATTGATTTAATACACTTAATGTTGTATCATTTCTAATTACCCAAAAATGTTCCATAAACCTTGGAATAATTATTTTGTCCTTGATGAGAAGTACCTAGTGCTTATCTGTTATGCTCACCTTTTAAGTACAAAATGATTTTCCCATTGCCTGAAAAATAATCTTGTATACACTGCAGAGATAACTTGTTATTGTAACATTATACCTTTAAAATTATTTTTAAGGGTTAGCTGAAAGGCAAAATTAAAGACTGTTTTGATTAAAATAACTCTAAACAAATATCTAGTAATGAGCAAATCTGTTATCCATATAATATACTTGTTCAATCAAAAAAAAAGTGTGTCCAATTTAATTACCTCTGACGATAAATCCAAGGGATGTTTATCTTAAGTTTGGCAGCATTTCACCACCGGTACAGTAACATCAATAGGATACTTTTATGCTGAATTATCTTAGTGTCTCCTGTGGAAACTTCATCAAACACATAGCTGAATTCCCAACAGGAATTTAGATATTCCTTTGTATGGTGTTTCCCTACTCACCTTTTTTAGATGGCTTGGGTGGTACAACTGGGCCGGGTTCTATGTTGTCATAAAAATTATTCATGGCTTTAGGGTCAAAGTTTCCTATAAAGAAATTAAAATCACAAGAGATTTAGGATTCTCAATTTTTTAAAAAAAGAAAACATATAAATAAAACATGTAAAAAGGGAAATGTTTTTCCAGAGTTTCAAAACTTCTGTCGCTGACATCATATTTTCTGTCACTGTGAGAAAAGACCCCAGGAGACACCGTCAGTGCTTGTCTACCGTGTGCTACCTGAGGCAGTGTTCCACTAAGGCTCGCCTCCTTGGATAGCATGAAGCATGGGACGGTTGAGGAAGTCAATGAGAGAAGAGAAATGAAAGCATGGCTGGACTGTTTCCTTCTCCTACTTGTTTTGATTTTATTGACTGAACCATGAGAAAGAAGACTCACATAGTGAAAGCTCACCTTCATATATATTGAAAAGCTCACTCTCGTCTTTCAAAATTTACCTTAAAATCTTATGCATTAGAAATTCAACCATGGAAGAAACCAAATATAACAATTTATAAATATTGGTCAAGTCACATTCTGAAATGTCTAAGCATCTGGATAAATGTGAAAGTAATATCAGCAGCTCACAGACTGCCATTTTCACCTCTATTCAATTGCTCATTCTCTGATCTAGTAGCTATAGTTCAGCTACATCACCTGCCGAGACTCCTTCAGGGTCAGTTTGTCCAGAGCCAGTTTGCAATCCTATCTTTATTTCTGGAATCCCATCACTACACACACTATTCCAAACAGTTCAAATACTTAAGCTCTGTAACTGCCTACTTACAGAGGATACTTTATTATATGGAGAGTTTAAATGTATTAAATCTCTTTATTTCTAAACCTGATTTTTTTTTTAATCCCTCAAATTTTCCTTGCCAAAATCAGTAATAAACACTGGTTGTCATGCATTAATTTGTATCTAATCTAAATATCTTTCCCCTCCCCCCCAAAGATGCTTATATTCCTTTTCTAGCTTAGGAATTTGGACCTGAAATTTCTAAGTTTTCTACAGAATGGGAGAGTGGAATTTAAGTAAAAAGTGAATAAGAGCTTATAGTAAAAGTTATTGCTCAGTGTAGACCAAAATTTAGCTCTTCACATAATAAAATCATAATAGTGCTTTCTCTTTCAAGTTTTATTACAAATGTTTTATCTATTTACATATGCTGTTTTAAGACAATTTTTTTAAAACAACTGCTATGACAGTTCATAAAAGCCGCAATGTTATTTCATATATCAGCTTGATTTCTTTATGCTTTAAGATGCTGCTTATGTTATTTCTTCTATTACTTAAGTTACAGTTGATCTTCTGATTTCCAGCTCTCATAGTAAGCTTTACTATAACTACTACAGTCAAAAGTGAGTTGATGGTTCTCATTTTTTGCTTAAAAGACCACAAGAGTAAAACTAAAAGATGCAATTTTCTGCAATACAATATGAATATTGTATAACCCCATTATGCATAATAATTCCTTCACTGCTTAGAATTTGTCAGCTAATAAAAATAATTTTAAAGGTATCTGCCTAGATTGCTCAACTTCCACCATCAATTTTGTTTCTCTGCATAGATATCTCCATAGCTTTTGAGTTCACTAATGAAATGGGATATTTCGTTTTCGTTCTTGTAAAATACTGTAGAAGCTCTCTTAGCTGCCAACATTACAAAAATAAGTGTGTAGCACTAGCATGGGGAGGTTGAAAACACATGTTAACTTTAATGTAACAATACAAAAAAGAATATACAAATTTTCAAGTGTTAACGGTCCTTTTCTTTATGTACTTGACTGAAATTTCATATTGTCTTAGATAAAACCAACCCATGAGAAGCTAAAGCACTAAAGTAACCATAGGAAATACACAAACAAATGGACAGTTTGTTTGCAAACAACAGTTCCACTAAAGTTTTATTTACAAAATAGGCAGCAGGTCAGTTTTACTGAACCCAAATCTGTAATTTTCTGTTTTATTTAGAACAGAGCAGAAAAGTATTTAACAAGGCTTAAAAAGCAATGTGAGTGCTGAAACCTTTTTCAGTTATTACTCATATGCAAATTTACAATTCCTATCTTTGTAGTGATTTTCCATTAAGCCTTTAAAAATATGTCTTTGGCTTTTATAGAAAGAGCAACTATCTTCTGCATTCATGTCTGTTTATGAAACACTTAATTGCAGAAATGCAGTAGCTGGCATGAACAGGTCTGAGGACATAATCAACTCCTGATACAAACAATTCAACTAATAAAAGCAGGCAATGCCAGAATGCAGCCTCCTTGTTAAACGGATTCATCAGCTGTGGCCATCACTCCACATCTTGAAGACCATCTCTAACTTGGTGAGTTAGACACATGAAAGTCAGCTAAGAGAGCTTCTACTGTAGTCTAGCCAGAAACTAAACCGGTTACAGGGGAATGCTTTCATACAGCAGGTAACGTCAACAAATGGCAATGTAGAATTTATTTACAACTGACAAACTGGATATTCTGATTTAAGATCCCTTTTTATATATGTTGACTAACACAATATGAAGCCACTACATTTCCCATCAACTTGTAAAAGGTTCACAGTAAATAACTAAGAGGGTAAATACAAAGTAACAACATAGAACAGTCTAGATGATTAAGAACTTAATGATGTGAAATTGCCAACTATTTATTGATTTCCCCCAAATCTAATCCAAGACTGTGGGGTAAGGGCTGGCATTTTATAATGGGAAAAACTATCTCAAATCTATAAAACCAAAATTATTGCTATTGAAGCAGCTTACAATACCATACTATTACTTATGGTTTACCAAATAATCAAATCTATACCTCTAGATTGAAGGAGGTCAACTTCTTTCAGTGTACAGTCAACATTTATCTGGAGTTGTCTGTTCATGCTTCTCAATCTTGTCATTTCCTCAGGCTAGTAAGAAAGGACCCAAAATAGCAATGGTGGGAAAGTCATTATCAAGCCCAACATTTAAGAACTGTTGCTCATGTTACTTGTTCTGATTGGGTAGTACCAAGAATACAGCCTTAGTCCATAAGAGGGCATGTCTACGAAGTCCTATGAGTGTTTTTAAAGGAATAGTCAGGTAAAATGGGGACACCAAAATGGCCATGTATAAGCAATCTGTAGGAAAAGTAGCAGGCTATCATACTGGAATTGTTCTATTGCATAAGATACTGCTAATCACAAAGCACGGAAAAGATTTTATTTCCATGGTAAGGTAATCCAATAATGAACCTTTCAAAAAAGCAATGTCCAAGTTCCTGTCTAGTTTGGAAAAAGTTAACAATAGAACTAATTTTAATTAGTGCTTACTTAGAATCAGGCACTATGTTTTTCAGAATGCTGTCATTCCTTTCTCTAAGAAACTTTTTAAGGCAGATGCTAATACCATGCTGAATTTATAGATAAGGACATTGGAGCACAGAGAAACTATATACTTTTTTCAAAGTTACAAAGGAAGCCATTAGTGTAGTACATGAAAACTTCAGGAATCAATGGACTCTTATTTCTCCAACTTTTTCTTTTGCCTTGTCTTTCTGGCCCAGTCCAATTGCTGGGTTGTTCAGGGGCACATAGCAGGCACTGAAATGGGAAGAGTCTTAATCTTCCCTTAAATAAAGCTTTTTTGAAGCTTTTACCATCCACAATGTTTTTATATTTATGTACAGAAAAAAAAGGGTTCAGAATTCATAGGCACGGGTACTGAGGCTTTCAGTACAGTCCGGGCATTAACTCAATGACTAGGGATTACAAGTACATCAAGCTAAAAAGTATCAATTGCTAAAGGAAAACAAACTCTCATTAAAAACAAGTATTTTGATAAAGGCTGAATGTACTAATATTCAACAAGGAAGAAAATGAGACTGAGTATCTTGATTCACAACAATGCAAGATCTTATGTTGTTAGAAGGTATTACCAGAATTGCTGAGAATGCCTGTTAAGTTAGCGGGTATCAATGCTTAAAATAAGTTATATAAAGGCAGAATATAATAGCTACAATTCCTTAGCATGCTAAAGAACAGTCAGTCATTCGGTACTCATTAGGGATTGCCCTTTTTTGGGGGGGGGAGGGGTTCTGTGGGTAAACTATAGGACTTTAATGTGTACAATGCCTACCAAGCAATGCTGAAATAGTTTAAAGCACATACTCACTAAACTAAGGGTTTATCTGTAAGGTTCTGTGTCCTTGTTCATGGTCTGTGATTAAACTGAGGGGGAAAAGGCTGTTTCTGAAAAGTGACTGCCATTTGGCAAAAGCATACTGTGCTACAAAGGAGAGGCTGTAGGAATGGCTATATATTATTTAGAATGGTTTCTAACATAACAGGATATTTGTGTCTAAAATATTAAAATGCAAAAATGCTTTTCACAAAGGTGGCAGAAAATCCTTAAGCCAACTCTTGCCACTTGAATTGTTTCACCACAATGACCAATGTTGACGATCACACAGAAGGTTCTTGGACTTGTCCCCATTACGCAACTGGAATGCGAGGCTGCGTATAGTCCAGAAATCCAAACTGCTGGAACAAGATGAATGGGGGCGGGAAATTTGGAGAAGGGGACAACTGGGAGCTCTCTGTTTATGAAAATCGTATTTATCTTTCAAGGGACAATTTAAATTCACTCTTCCTGTATGAAACCAATTTATCTTTAAACAAACATTTCTCTGAACTTAAAGTACTTAATGTAGTCGACATTTCGTTGGCTAATATCTCTGATGTACTGTGTTAAATTATTTTCTCCTTCACAAGTGCAAATATTACATAGATAGGTGTCTTTTATAAATAGAAATGGCACCACAATGTATCTTGCACTTCTTCTCCCCTTAGAAAGAATTTCACCATAACCTGAAGCTTCTGCACTTGCACAGCTGTCTGGCCTCAGGTGTGTATTCCAGTCCCATTAAGGATAAGCACCTTTCTAACCAAACTCTTATTTCATTTCTTTGAAAACATGAAGGTAGCAGTATGTGCCTCACAAAAATGTCAATTCTCTTTCAGATACTCCTACACACAAGTGGGACAACAATGAGGATAGCCATTTAGTGAACACCTACTTCATGCCCGGCAGTTACAGAAATTGTTACCTTGACAGCCAGATTATATTTCTTTTCATAGACATGGAAGATCAAATGCAGAAGTTAGAAGGTGAGTGCCAATACTATTCTGACTCCAAGCCTATGTGTGTGCTCTTTCCGTTATGATATGGTTCCTCAAATGACCCTCGATGAATAAAAGGGAAATTCTAATGATTTATTGCTTGATTAATCTACATAAGTATATGTCTATGCCATGCATAGTCCAAAGTCAAAAGCAAATTTTTGAAAGATACTTAAGATGTGTGTGTGTGTGGGTGTGTGTGTGTAAATCTTAAGCAGATTTCCCAGCATTTTCAACAAACATTTGCTTTTTAGCAACACTATTTGCTGGGTATTCTGTCAATTGTTAAACATACATAATCCTAACAAAAATCCCCTAGGATAGATACTCTCCCATACACATCACGGGGATAGTAAAACAAGTAGATAGGATTACTTATCCACAGAAAGACTGAGTGACACAAGTAGCAGAAGTAGGATACTAGCTGGACCTGTCTTGGAGAACCTAACTCACTGTTTTAACCACAATGTACATGTGTCCCTTAGCCCATGCACTAACAATTTTCCATTTTTTCCAGGCTTGAGAGCAAAAATGCATGAAACTCAAATTTCCTTTCTCAAATATTACTACCTACATGAAATATGAATTTCTGAAGCTGGACAATGACTACATGGACTACTTTAATAGAGTTAAAGTCATAGCCCAGGGGAGCAGATTCAACCATTTTTTTCTGTTCTAAGCTCTGATTAAAAAAAATCTGGACTTTTCCTGAAGCACTGATCCATGCTACATTAGACAGTTCACTTGCCATCTTAAACAATTCCATCAAACAGGGTTTGATGTAGCAGGGATTATCAGATGGCAAGTAGCTGTTAAACAAAGCTTACCTGGTTATTTTACAAGAAATTACTTTTATGCTCTATAGGTGTCTAAAGGATGGACTCAAGGTTACCAGCCCCCATCTGTGGGTACCCACAGGGATTACAGCCTTGAGTATCTTGATTCATTTAAGATTCCAAAGGGAGACAATGTGGCAGAAATTTTCTCACATATATATATGGTCATCTGTAAGTTAAACACAGCTATGTAATTTTCATACTTTCTCACTTCCAAAACTTGCTAAAGCAAGAAAGGAATAGTCAATATTAGGAAAAAATGTATTAAATTATTGAATATTCTTGGTTTTCAAAAACTTCCACTGGCTCCTTGTGAAGAACAGAATAAAGTTCAAATACCTGACTTAGCCATTCAAGGTCCAAACCCCACTCTAGCTATGTACATCATCCTCCGTAAGCTCCCCAGAATCCCAGTTAAGCTAGGGAATTATACTTACTGCCTCCGGACACTTGGTCTCTGTCCTGACCTTAAGCCTCTGGTACCCCATGTTCTCTTCCTTTCTCAAATGTCTTCCCTTTTCTTCACTAACAGTACTGTGTTTCATTCAAGGCAGTGTTTCCTCACCCCTTTTGCTCCACTGTAAGAGCCTTTGCCAATCAAATGAGAGTTACAGAGCTACTTCCCGAGCAGTCACACATATTCAAATGGTGCACAGAAGAGTGGCAGGGAACGCATGCTTGTCTCTTGTAAAGCCAGAACCAGGGGTACAAACTTCTCCAGGAGGCAGGAGCTACAGACCTGCTGTCTGCAGTCTGATGTAACAGGTACTTTGAAATGTTCGTGGGAAAATGGGACTAAATGATAAGTTTATTTTGGTGTAAAACAATTTTGAGACGCATGTGTAATTCTTTTCCTAGATGAACTCTAGGAAGAATTCTGTAGGTCCCTTGCATATTCTCACTTCTCCACAGGGCATTCTAGTAGGAGGATGGTGTAATATATTCAGAAATCAGTAGATAGATGAGTTGTCTCATTATCCATGAGCATTTTCAGTCTATTACAGTATAATTATCTACTGGTGTACCTAGGTTCCCCACTGGCAGGTTGTGCTAAACACAACATAATACTACATTTATATATATATATATATAAAGGCCTACTGAACCATATGACTGTGGAAAGGTGAAATCACAAGTTGAAGCATAGAACACTTGTGATATCACAGGATTTCAGGAGACGTGCTTAAAAATTGAATTGTTTGAGATTGTAATAACTCATATTCATGAAGCAACATGTTAAATCTATCATAGCAATTCCTTTTAGGACTGCTATCAGCCATTTCTAAGTTTCTAGAGTTACTGACACTTAATGAAAATACTCTGCCTTAAAATGTTCTACAGTCACTTTCCTAAGAGTCATTCTGATGTCATTCTAACTCATTTGTTATTAATGTACTCAGAAAAATAATGTTAAAAGTTCAAGAAAAAGATGTATCGTTTGCTTAGAAGGATAAATGAGTACCCTGAGAAAAAAATTACAAAATGGTCAGGATTTCATTTCTAGTATTTGAGCAGAAAGCAGTTCATAGAAAATAGTGTGGGATGCCACAACTAACTACAACTGTATTTTAAAATGTTGGTGCACCTATCAGATTTGCACAAGTGAGAAAAATAAAGCAAATTATTTTGATAAGCAGTACTGAAAGGCAAAAGTTGTACATCTGCAATGTTTAAAAAAGCAAATAAAAGGAACGGAACCTGAAAGGGAAAAAAAAAAAAAGAACGCACGTGGCAGCCAGCCCATGTCCCCACCCTCCTGGCAGCACAGCCCTCCGGTTACTTACGGTCGGGATCGCAGTGGTGCAGCTGACTCTTCTGAGCCGTCTCTGCATCAGGTCATGCTCCATAGCGTTAACTTCAGCCTTCAAGCGTTCTAGCTCCTCTTTCTCAAGTTTCAACTGCTTTGCTAACCTCTCCATCCTTGCTCGCTGATGTAACAGCAAGGCTATAGCATTACAGATAAAGTCAATGCAAAGAGTAATATTGAACAAATGACTGGAACATTTTCTATATGCATTGTTACTGTATAAAAGACTCAACCAGTGAGGGGTGTTGGCATTTATTCACAGGTCTAACAATACTGCTCTGCCTGCACAGCTATGTTAGCTTTTTTCAATTGCTACCCATATCATACCATCTGCACATCTCTCTGCTTTGTCACACTTAATTTCCCTAAGGATCTAACTATACTTGCAGTTTCTAACAAGTTCAATGCCAGGCATAACAAATGAAAATTACAATTATTTCCCTTCTTACATATTAAAAGAACATTAAATTCACAAGTACCTGGAAACAGAAGAGACTTAAAAACTAATCTTTATGTTTAGTTAGATCTACTCTTGGCTAATGCATTGCTGTTATTATTCATTCAAATTCTTACATATTACTTCTAGCTATCATTATGCCCTTCAGGCTATTATCTGTAGAAAAGATTTCCACTATTTTATTTGATGAAGTTTAGTCTACTCTCTATGAATTTTTTTCCTATTCTAGTTTGTATTTTTAACAATATACAATTATTCTATATCCTCTTCCCAATGTACATTCTACCTGAAACACTTACTAGGAAGCCACAATCATGCCTGCACTTCAGATTTTAAAACTAAGTCCACAGATGAATCTGAAGTGCTGATCGTTTTCTTAGCAGCAATGCTACTGCCCAGGGTCAAATGTGAAACATTTACTTGAAACAGTAAATATGAAATATGTGACACCAAATAGGAGACTGCCATGTCATCACAAATATTACATTTAAAAGAGTTACAAATTTACCTTGTGTATACGCATAGTCGTCTGATCCAGAACTAGTACTCCTCTGATATTTATGGCTTCCCTTTTCTCCCCCAGAGCCTGGTATCACTGAAATCGGCTGAATAGGTTCTGGTGCTGCAGAGTGCTCTTCTTGGTCCACTAAATTTAAGATATTTTCAGTTGCTGTTCGGCCTAAAGTAATTTTAAAGACTGTAGTTGGGTTTGGCATCACCCGAGGAGACGGCGATGGAGCGCATGAAGGTCCAGTTGGTTGTGTGTATGTAATATACACAGGATTAACACTAAATGGAGGTTTTGGTTGACTAGATATTCCTCTTGAAGGGGAACTTGAAGGTGGCGTGGTGGCTGTGTACAGTGAATGCTGATTCCGAGGAGACGATTGATTACTGATGGGTGAAGGACTCCTAGTGATCGCTGTTCCAGGTCTTTGAGAAGGTTCAACTGTAATCTCTATCTTCTTCATGGAACCTTTGGGTAAGCTAGATGCTGTGTATGGGAGATAGGCTACTGAATGGCTTCCCTGTTTCTGATAGCTAGGAGGTCCTTGTTGATATGGATGGGGTGGAGTAGTTGAAGGACTGGGTGGCATAAAGACGTGGGAACTTGGGTGGCCCAACTGGGAAGGTTGTACTTGATGTTGTGGCGAGCTGAAAGGTGAGGGACACTGAGAAGGAGGTGGAGAATGGTAAGCAGATTGAGGGATCTGCTGCTGTTTGGGAGAATACTGAGAAGGTTGATAGCTTTGTTGGTGTGGATAAACAGGTAAAGGACGTTGGCTATAGTGAGGCACTGGGCCCTGTGGTGAGGACTGCCATGGCGTATTCTGAGGAGTTTGTCTTCCTGATGAACTCTGAGATGTCTGTCTAATATAAATAGAACCAGGAGACCCATAGAGATTGCTTGGAATTTGTGGAAGAATCTGTAAAGCTCTGGGTACAGTCTGTCCTGAAGGGAGATTCTGGGATACTGTAACAGTAATTGGATTTGTACTATACCGAGGTATGTGCATGTACGAAGGAGGTGGTGGTGGCGGTGAAGGCCCTTGCATAGCAGATGGATTCATTCCTGTTTGCATGGAAGATGGCTGTTGAGGTGGCTGTGAAGGAGGAGTAGCTGCACTTCTGTTCTGTTCATTCATAAAAAACGGATTGTAGTTGGGAGTAGCAGCCACAACAGCTGGAGCTGAGTGTGGTTCCTGAACTAAACATATCAGCTGTTTCCCTGCTGTATGCTGTGGATCAATATGTCCATCACTTGAGCTATGTACCAGTGTTCGACCACCATTAAGCTGAGCTCCATCTCCTGGGTGGTAGCTACCAGGAGAATGGATACCCAGGTTAATATGCAAAAGGCGATTTCTATTCATTCTATTGTCATCTGGACTGTGGTATTCCATATATAAGTATTTGCTACTCTCTTGGGAAAGCGCTCGGCAACAGGCTTCAAGATTGTTGTTATTCTAGAGGAGAAAAATGGTAAAAAGCAACACTGATTAAGATGAACAAATCCTAATATTGGAAATCAATTTTGTCAAGAGTTATGCAAGTGTATTTTCACAGAATAAGTACACAATGGTATTTTAACCACAAAAGGCTCCGTGCTTATCTATCCTGAAAAGATTCCAAACGATGCAGATCATTTTGTCAAAAACTGAGTTCACACTATTAATACTACCACTACTGCTACTGCTACAGAAATGGAAAGTACCTACTAATGGACACTGTGAGTCAACCCAAGTTCTCTGACTCCAATTCCAGGACTCACTTTACACTTGTTGCATCTCAACAAATTAAAATGCTGGGCTAATCTTGGCTTCACAATTGCTGCAATACATAAGTAATACCCATCATTAATATTTAAACTGATAAACATGAAAATAACTATGCTTTAGTTTTCAAAAAGGAGACAAAATTACAATTCCTGATTTTAAAATAATGAAAATTCTGTAACAGGAATCACTTTTTCTGTAATTTAGTCCTATACAACTTAAACCATCTATAGCATTATGAAAAATTTAAGCAAAACAAATCAATAGAAGAATTCCCTATTTGGAATTACTGCTCCATAGTTTTGTTAGAGTTATGGAAAGTTAACATAAAACTGGTCTCAACTGCCTTAATTTATCCACAGTCCCAGGTTTATCCACTGAGAGGTGACTAGGTATACTTTCAAAATTAAAAATTTCATTTTTGGAGTTAAACACTTTCAAAAATAATAAATTGACCTGTGAGAAGTTCCAGTCAACAGTAACCAAAGTAATAAAAGGTTTATTTTTAAATTTTTAAGCTATTATAAAGCAGTATCCGTTGACATATAGAGTTCTAAACTATTAGTGCAAAACACATTTGCTGATATTGGGAACAATAAAAATGTTTCAATTATGAGTTTTGCTGTAGCTAATAAACATACATATTACTATTTATTTATTTTGGGGAAAAGTACATTTAGTATATTTTCTTTTTTTTTTTTTTTTTAAAGATTTATTTTTATTATTTTTTCATTGGAAAGGCGGATATACAGAGAGGAGATACAGAGAGGAAGATCTTCCATCCGATGATTCACTCCCCAAGTGAGCCGCAACGGGTCGATACTATGCCGATCCGAAGCCAGGAGCCTCTTCCGGGTCTCCCACGCGGGTGCAGGTTCCCAAAGCTTTGGGCCGTCCTCAACTGCCTTCCCAGGCCACAGGCAGGGAGCTGGAAGGGAAGCGGGGCTGCCGGGATTAGAACCGGCGCCCATATGGGATCCCGGGCGTGCAAGGCGAGGACTTAACCACTTGCGCCACCGCGCCGGGCCCCATTTAGTATATTTTCTATAAAAATGAATCATAGAACTTTTGCCAATAACCAGATAAGGTTACACTAACTGCTATAATGTTAGAGTTGAAATAATTCTGCAGTTTATCTATTTCAGCTCAACTCACATTTCAAGCTGGGGAGAGAGATGCCTTGCCATCAGGCACGCACCTGGTTCATTAGAGAGCCAATTTGATCTGTGCTCTCCCGAGTCCAAGTGCTCTTTCCAAATAGTAGCGTCAAGAGGGAGGACATTTAGCCAAAAGGATATTACTATACTGGAAGTGGGAAAAAAAATCCGCCCGAACAAACATTTGTATTCTCAAAAAATTGAAGAACTGGCTTTCTCAAATTTCCATGTATAATTTTATTCTCTTCCTTAAATAAAAAGCTTTTGATAATAAAACACTTTTAAAATTACTTTCAAATTATAGAAAGACATATTAGTTCAGATTGAAGAAGAAAACTGTTAGAACTCAAAGATCTGACTTTTTGTTAGCCTGAAAATAATGCTAAACAAGGGAAATAAGCTAGATATGAAAATAAGATATTTGCCTTCAAGTAGTTTATAAACCTATGGATTAGGGAGAAAATAGTTCTATTTGACATTTTCATAAATAATCCTAAATTTCAGGCATGTTACTGACAAGTTGGGTAAATTTTCTAATGCAGAAAAACTTCAAACCACAAATACAAGATATTTATATTTATGGCACTATTGTAAAAAACAAAAATCACCAGAATAGAATGTCCTATTGACTTAAAAGTTTTCTAAAAAATTAAAATTTGCCACACAGTAAATCTGAAGCACCAAAAAGTAAAAATTGTTTAGTTGGAGAAAAAGCTTATAATGTTAAGCATACATAGACACTGTTGAAAGAAACAGGACAAAAAAAGGCATCTCACTTCTACAGAGTGATCCATATGGAAGGCTACTGCAGAGAGGCTTGAAGGCTTGTTGCTAAAAGCAGACTACTCATGTCACATACTGTAAGGTGAACCAAGAAGCGTTCAAGGGCCAGCAAGTAAATTCCCATACCACTATTGTCTAATAATCCCAAAAGAACGAGTGAGACATATAGAGAAAGTGTCAAATGTTCACTGAACTGAAGTTGCATTCCTTCATTTTAGAGGTCATAAAAATACTGCTAACAAAAAGGCTAAATAAAAGAAAACAAGGTCAGAACGATGTGATAGTGTAGCAACATGGGCTAAGCAGGGAGCTAGTTAGCGAAAAACTGAGCTAAGAGGCTTGCCAGCTGCCTTCTTGTAATGGCCTTGCACTGCTAAAGACTGCCACCCCTTTCAATTGGATTCAGCATACCCTCTTTCCCATGATGCAGCAGAGCCACCTCCATTGACACATTAGAGCTCAAAGCTCTATCTGGAGATGCCATGAAACAGTCTCAGAGATGAACATGGCCACTAAACATTACCATACTCTGTATATTCAAGTAGGGGACCAGCCTCTAGCTGTCAAAAGGGTAACCAGACTTGGGGGTGGCAATTCTTCATGTTGCCTGCATTGGCCTCTGAATGTATACTATTTCTTTTTAAATATTAAATTCTCCCATTCTTTCACTTCATTTGCCTCTGCTGTGTATTCACCTTTCATTTTGAGACAAGAACATGGAATAAATCCAGCTGTGGACACCCACTCTGTACCCTACAATGCCAAGATGGGAGAGGAAGGTGACGTTAGCAAATGGTCTAAACTAGAAACCTCACTTGTTCTTGCTCTACCAGAGACCAAGAAAGAGTTAAACAGCTGAGCTTTGTAATTTGCTAGAAAAAAGCTCTAACACCAAAGTCATAAACTAAAGGCCTACGCCTAGAAAAGGGCTCACAAACAAAGGAAGCACCTTTGCTAGCACCATTGCTCTGCATCTCCATTAGGTTCCAAGGGAACTACTGACACCGAGGCAGGTGCAACTGGGATGTGAATGCTGTGAGGATCCTCAGTGAGCAGGGTAGAAGCACTATGGCCAAAACACTCCAACAGGGAAGTGCCATAACCCAACCATACTGAGATCCAATGAAAGGAAGAGAAAGCCTCTGGCCCCATGGCATTGTAGAGAGTAGACCTACTTCTCTGCTGCTGCTTGGCAGGGGAAGATGCAGTCTATCCCACAAAGAACAATACCAAGAGAGCATGACTGAACTAAGCAAAGTGGGCTTACAAACTAGAAAATCGGCAAGAAAGGAAGTGGGTTATCAATAAACATTTAAAATGGGCTAAAAGTGAGTAGTGTAAACAATCAAAATGATGTGTTTGAGATTTAAAATTCAACTAAGGATTTGGGGACAAACAACACACCTCAAAAATTTCAAGTGCAATGTTACTGCTTTACTAGAAGCTTTTGCTCAAAATCAATGGCTCTTGATGCAGTGAGATTTTTCTTCCTATGATACATCTGGCCAATGCCAGGAAACAGTTCCAGCTGTCACAATGTTGAGGATACTAAGCATCCTACAATGTACAACACAGATCCTCACAATAATCCAAACAAACAGCAGCACATAATCCCCTATGCCCAAAACATAAGTGATTTCTACTCATAACACAAAGTCAGATTTAAAAAAAAAACTATCACTTAATAATCACTATCATTGCTAAATAATTTACCTGTAACATGCACTGAGACACCACAACCTCTGGAATTTCAGGGAAGCGTTGTCGGAGATCATGAAGAACCTGAATATCAAGCTGTGGATTGCTTTGCGCCATGCCAGAGCAAATGGTTGGTCAAGTTTTTCTTAGGAAATGGATGTTAATTAGCTGTCCAAAAGTAATGATTTTTGAATACCACAATCATTTTCTATGAGGAGAAAAGAAATAAAAGTTTAGGTTAAGTCTGGTTATACAATTATACTTTATTTTAACATATAATGAATTTTTAATAAAGAAACCTGGACTTGGCGCAGTCCAGCAGTTATAGTCCTTGCCATGCAAACACGGGGATCCCATGTGGGCACCAGTTCTAGTCGTGGCAGTTCCACTTCCCATCGAGCTCCCTGCTTGTGGCCTGGGAGGGCAGTCAAGGACAGTCCAAGGCCTTGAGACCCTGTACCCGCATGGGAGACCTGGAGGAGGCTCCTGGCTTCAGATTGGCTCAGCTCCAGCCATTGCGGCCGCTTGGGGAGTGAATCACCAGACGGAAGAGCTTCCTCTCTGTCTCTCCTCCTCTCTGTATATCTGACTTTCCAATAAAAATAAGATAAATCTTTAAAGAAAATAAAGAAACCTAAAATAAGTATAACCACTTCCAAGGTTGGAAAACTGACAATTCAACTTAGAAAATCTTTAAAAACATGTACATCTGAGGTTTTAGAACAAAAAGCCAAAACCAAAAATTAACCCCAAATTCCATGGGTGAGCATGGTGACCCAACAAGACTAATCCTCTGCCTTGTAGCACCAGCATCCCATATGGGACCTGGTTCATGTCTCAGCTGCTCCACGTCCCATCCAGCTCCCTGCTTGTGGCCTGGGAAGGCAGTAGAGGATGACCCAAAGCCATGGGTTCCTGCACCCTCATGAGAGATGAAGAAGAAGCTGCTGGCTCCTGGCTTTAGATCGGCTCAGCTCTGGCCACTGCAGCTACCTGGGGAGTGAACTGGCAGCTTGCATCTCTCTTTCACTCTCAGTGTCTCTACTTCTGTCAATCCACCTTTCAAATAAATAAATCTTTAAACCTTCCAGCTCCATTTTAATACCTTTTTTTAAAGCAATAGATATACTAAAGAGTATTATCATTTGGCAGGTATCATCTTTGTATCTTAAGAAATCCTATTTAGGCAAAATCACTCATTTTCACAAGGACTATCACTTCACTAAAGCAGAGTAATCACTGTGACATCTAGAATAAGAAAACAGATTATCATGGAAGGCACTTTGTCCTGTTTGCCTTACATTTCCATGGTATGTAAATCAAACAAAATGGGCAAATATGGAAATGTAAAACCTTTGTTTCTTTTTTTTTTTTTTTTTAAAGATTTATTTTTATTATTTTTTTCATTGGAAAGGCGGATATACAGAGAGGAGAGACAGAGAGGAAGATCTTCCGTCCGATGATTCACTCCCCAAGTGAGCGCAACGGGCCGATACTATGCCGATCCGAAGCCAGGAGCCTCTTCCAGGTCTCCCACGCGGGTGCAGGTTCCCAAAGCTTTGGGCCGTCCTCGACTGCTTTCCCAGGCCACAGGCAGGGAGCTGGAAGGGAAGCGGGGCTGCCGGGATTAGAACCGGCGCCCATATGGGATCCCGGGCGTGCGAGGCGAGGACCTTTAACCACTTGCGCCACCGCGCCGGGCCCAAAACCTTTGTTTCTAAAAAATGATACTGGTGGCTCATCACTAACCAGACCTGCTGTGCTACACATTCACCAGTCCTAGTTTGACAAGTGAAACTAACCCTCAATCCCCCTGGTACTGGTTGAGCACCCACCCAAAAGTAAGGCAATCAGTGAAGCAATTATGTATTATAAATCAACTGTCAGTATCAAGGATCACTCAATCAATTAATTCTTAATCTAACAATTACCACTTTTAAAAATAGAAAAAAAAAATGCAGTGTACACCATAGAGTTTCGGAACACTTCTGTACTCATTCACAAGATGACCAAGCCAAATCTCATGTTCATGATAAATAACATGAGCATCCCATAACTGTAAGATACGCATCTGAAGAGCACATAAGGGATATTTTACCCCACACTAAACATAATATTACAAACTGGTTTCAAAACTAAATAACGCCGGGCCTGGTACGATGGCCTAGCAGCTAAAGTCCTCACCTTGAATGCGCCGAGATCCCATATGGGCGCCAGTTCTAATCCCAGCAGCTCTGCTTCCCATCCAGCTCCCTGCTTGTGGCCTGGGAAAGCAGTAGAATATGGCCCAGAGCCTTGGGACCCTGCACCCACGTGGGAGACCTGGAGGAAGCTCCTGGCTCCCGATTGGCACAGCACCGGCCATTGCGATCACTTGGGGAGTGAATCATCGGGTGGAAGATCTTCCTCTCTGTCTCTCCTCCTTTCTGTATATCTGACTTTACAATAAAAATAAATCTTAAAAAAACACTAAATAATGCTATTACATGCCACAGTAAAGAGAACTACATAGATTTTACATAGAAAAAAATATGGAAAATAATGAATTACTTTTGCTGGTTTATATTTTAGTAGTTAATTTTAAAAGACATTAATTTTAAATCATGGGTAAAAATATTCACGGGCAATCTGCTGACTTTTACTAGGTAAAACTAGGTAGAACTGAAGTTGTCTACCTCCTTCTTCCAAGTTAAGGCTGTCAATGAGTTCTATATACTTTTGGATCTACCACAAAGCCCCTAAATCTGTAAAACCTTGCCTGATCAGAGGACATCGAACAAGATTTCAAACTTCAACATGGAAGATGTCTAAAGAACATGAGGGGAAATGTGGGAGAAAACAAATTAACTTCTGATTTGCATGTATATAATGAGAGAACTTGAAGATGGAATTAAAAAGTAATTTTTATGCTTTTAATATACTATGTTATTCCACAGTGGGTCGGGAGAGCTGAGAAATCTTTCACCTTCTTAGAATGTGTGAGGAAGATGTTAAGCATAACCTATCAAGATTATAACAGGTAACTTACAGACAGCAGCCTCAAATCAACATTAGACATTAGCAAAAAATATAAAGACATACAGTGGGATCCAGGAGTGATCCTGACAGCCTCTTAATAGGAGGTCATATGCACGGGGGTGGGGGGAGTGGAACAAGACAGGAGGAGGCTTGTATCCCAACCCTGGAGACTCCCGGATCCTCATCAAGGACTATCAGTATGGGCACCAAAGACTACATCCCAACTGCCAAGGAGACCACGGGGAATTGGGAGTGCCCTCGTAGGCAGAGAACTCTGAGGTCATCTATTCCCTTTTGGATCTCCCACATGGGATGAAAGATGCCCAGATCCTTCCTCACAGGATCCAAGGTCATCGGAACAGCCAGGAGCCCTGAGTAGTCCTCAGAAACAGAACAGCAAACTTCCTTTGGGACTCGGAAGGGGAGCTTTCTCTGGTCCTTACTTGGTTCCAACTTTGGCTCCCCACCCTCTCTTGCAATGACCATCAGGGTCGCTCTGGAGCCCCGCCCCCACCCCCCACCAAAAAATTACATTAGATAGAGAACAGCATGGAAAGCTTAGAAACAGACAGGAAATGGTCAGCTTCGACTCCCATATACCTTACTAAATAGGACACAAAGATTAGTTACTCCTCACTAAAGTATTGAAGATTCCTCTGCACACCCCTCCTAAAACTGATCTGCGCCTCAACTGTTGACAAATACCTTGTTAGATTTATAAGCCAGTTTAGACTATCCTATAATCCGCCAAGTTAAGTACAAGTTATGCTTCAACACTATAAACTGCTAAATACTAAAATGAAAATAGACACAAGATAACTGAATAGTACCCTATAGCCATTTTAAGGTGTACAGCAGCCGGTTGTATATAAATTAAAATTGAGATGTCAAGGAAGTAGTCACAGGATGTGGTTAAGAACTTGCATTTTCTAACATTGGTCACTCAATACCATGTCAGTTAACTCCATGATGTTGTAAATTGTTGTTGATGTTGTATTGTGGCTTTTCATTGGAGGGGATGATAACCTGCCAGCTCTACTTTTCAGACCAGGGATGGTCTCCCAATGAGACTGTTGAATTGATCTGGACAATAAGAGGCTGGACTCTATGCATGGTATATGCTTGCAATGAAGGAATCATTACTGGATTTGAACTGTACTACTGCCACAAGGTGGAGGACTCCACCATGGGGGGAGGGCATGGGGAGGGGTTGGGGGAATCCCAGAGCCTATGAAACTATCATAAAATGACAAAAAAAAAAAAAAAGGAAAAAAAGTTATTTTAGGGCCGTTGAGGCACGGTAGGTTAACCTGCCTCTTGCGGCACTTGCATCCCTCATCAGTGTACTGGTTTGAGTCCTGGCTATTCTGCTTCCTATCCAGCTTCCTGAAAATGCACCCATGAAGACACTGGAAGTACACCTGAATTCTTGGCACTTGCCACCCATGTGGAAGGCCAGGATAAAGATTCTGTCCCCTGGCTATAGCCTGGATAAGATCTGGCTTTGGTGGTCATTTGGGCACTGAACCAGAGATAGGTAATCTCTCTCCCAGTCCCTCTTTCTCCCTGCTCTCTGTAAATCTGCCTTTCAAACAAAGTAAATCAGCCCCACTGTGCCCATAGCCAATGGGGGACATAAGCCCTGCTGTACCCACAGCCAGTGGGGGACACAGAGCCCACTGTGCCCACAGTCACTGGGGGACCAGATGCCCCACACTGCCTGAAGCCAGTGCCCCCTGATGAGTGTCCTGTGGTTGGGGCATTGCCCCAACAATTGTCTTAGGGCTCATGTACGAGTTCAAACTGGGGCTCCATGTTCCATTTGTAGGTAATTTAAAGCTGCTGCCTTGCCTATGGGGGACTGTATGTGGGCGTGTGAACCTGAGAAGTGGTGTAGTAATACTTTCTGAAAGAAGAGGACCCTAAAATAGTTATCCCCCCAACTTCCATCTGAAATGTCATAAATGAACAATTTCTTGAATGTTGTGTATATACTTTAAAAAGCACTTTGTGAAATAGCTTGTACATTTATTTCCTAATTTATATGCTTTTTGATGTTGATATACTTAATAACAGGGTTTTATTTATTGTTTCCCTTTTTTGTGTAATGCGTGTGGGGAGAACTCCTTTGTCATCTGTAACGCGGAGCTGTGGGTGTGGCGTGGCATGGTGAACTACAGTGTCCTGACCATTGCCTGGGAGGGCCAGCATGGAGGACGCGGCCTCCTCGGCCCTGGCCCCCAGATGGTGCGGAGGACACAGCCTCCTCGGCCCTGGCCCCCGGACAGTGTGGAGGACGTGGCCTCCTCGGGGACGAGGTCTCCTCGACCCTGGCTGCGGGGCCTCCCTCGCTTCAACCTAAATTGATGTTTTGTTGGTCTCAATAAACCTCTTCTCCGAAAAAAAAAAAGGTTATTTTGATGCAAAAATTTTCAAAGTTTTTTTGTAATATGTATGTTTCATACTGAAGCCCTCTCATATATATAATTTCAAAAAAATTGCACGAGGCCCAGAGCAATGGCTCAGGTGGGCTAAAGTGTTTGCCTTGCACTAAGTTCCCATATGGACAATAGTTCAAGTCCCAGCTACTCCACTTCCCATCCAGCTCCCTGCTTGTGGCTTCGGGGAAGGCAGTGGAGGACAGTTCAAAGCCTTGCGACCCTGCACCCACACGGGAGACGTGGACGGGTCAAACTGGCTCAGCTCCAGCCAGCCATTGCGGCTACTTGGGGAGTGAGCCAGTAGATGGAAGATCTTTCTCTCTGCCTCTCCCTCTCTATAAATCTGCCTTTCCAGTAAAAATTTTTAAATCTTTTTTTTAAATGGCTTATTTAAAAAAAAAAAACTGCACCAAAATCAACCTTTGTTGAATAATTCCATTTTCCACAAACTTTTTTCAGTACTCATACATAGTCATCATGGCTTCCCTAAGCCACTCTGCTCCCTGCAGTTCCCTTCTGAGTCTGCTCTCACCTGCTTTATATCACAACTGCACTGAAACATTCTTTCTGCTGAATACAGAGGAATCTGTCCTGTGCCTGTTGTGCAGCCTCAGACTACTGATCACTCCTTTTTGGCAATGCCTGATCTGTTCTCAGCCAGCCTGATATTTCGCACTAGCCTGTGATAAGTTCTTCTCTAATTTCGCTTTAACAGTTTAAGGTTGACATTTTGTTCTCTTTTATCCTCAGGAACCTCCTCATTCTACATCCTTTTGTCCAGTGATCACATTCGCTAATATCATTTCAGCATTTAAAGACTCTTGATTCCCAAACTAGTATGTTAAGCAAAATGTTCTCTCCATGGCGCCAAACATATAACCAACTACCATCTATCCATATGGCACCACCTGGATATGCCCAACAATATTAAGGATGTCTGAAAGAGAACTCATCTCATCACACCCCCTCCCCAAATGCCTCTTCCCTCCATGAATGCAACCAATATTCAGTTAGGTAACAAAACCAGAAACCAAGGTGTCATGTTTGATTTTTCATGTCTGCACAACCAAGTAAACATAGTGTGGCATGAACCTTGGTTCTGCATACTATTTTTGTCAATTATAAGTCTCTAGGAAAGCCATCTAATCCTTAACCTTGGAAGTTTCATCTGTAAGATCTAATAGTGTTAAAGTTCAAATGACAAAAAGTAATGTTAGGAAGCATCAGTTACTCATCATCCTGCTCGCATCTGGATACTGCCCTCATCCACCTTTCACAGTAGCTACATTCTAGCCTCTCCGCTTCCTCTTACCATGCCCTTTCATTCTCCACACTCTAACCAAACAGAACCACGTGTGAGCCTGTGCATAGATCTCCATTTTGTCTCCTCATCAGTCCATGATCACCCATCTCGGACTCCCCCCACCCATCCCTCCTTTCCTCCCCCCACTCTGCTTCCCCGAAATCTTATTGATCCTGTACATGTCAATATGGTGTACACAAGGGAGGCCTTTGACTGACCCCTCTCCCCACAAGCCTTGCTCCAGGCCCCTCCTCTCCCTGCAATGGCTAGCAGACCTGCAACTAGGCTGCCACAACAGGCTGTGCTTACCCTCACGGCAGCACTAAGCATACTATATTGACACTACCTGTGCACCTGAAGCTCTCTTGTTTCATATGGAACATGTTACTATGCCAAAGGGTGGGGAAGTACTCAGAGTAATGAGACTGTGTTAGTAAGGACATGGGAGTCAGCTTGCAGAGTCTTCAGCTAGACAAAACTGTGACAATCTGAACACAAAGATAGCCAGTAATGAATTTTAAGAGCGTAAAGTCTATACAAGGGCACTCCAAAGTCCACAGAAAGTGCAATTAGTTTATTTCAAAGCCAAAAAAAAAATGTAAATTCATGCACAGCTTTTTCAGTACACATTTTTCTAGGACTTTTTCAAGGGCACTTGTCACATAAGAGGGGAGTGTTTCAGCTTAACAGTGGAATATAACTGATGAAGTGTACAGGAAGTGTTGGAGCTGGATAACTCATTGTAACACAGCCAACACACCACAGACTGCTTAAAGCAAGTATCAGTGCATGTCACATCTTTGAAGAAATGTGGATGAAGAGTAAGACATACGCATGGTCTTACAAATGCCTCCTAAAGACTTATTAGATGCAAAGCAGAAATTTTTACACTTCACAATGGATTAGCTCAACATCTGCTCTGGGTGATAAAAATGAACATCTCCAATGAGAGCCTGAGGGTCGGTGGATACCTACAGATACACCCGGAGAAGAACATATCACTTCATGCTATTCCAGTCAAGAATGCATAACCTGAAATCGCTCATGAAAAAATAAACCCAAAATTAGAATGTTTTATTTAAAAAGGAAGGGGGGCATCTTAGAAAATGACAAAGGATATAAAAATGTCCCACATTAAAAGAGAGCTATAACAACAAACTATAAAGTCTAATTCTAGATTAGGTCCTGCACAAATGTCGGAATTAGTGGATCAACTGACAGGAGTGAAATGTGGATGACAGAAGTATTCTGTTAACGTTAACTTGATTGAATTTACCAAGTTTATTGGATTGGTAGCTTGCAGTGGTTTCTTACAGTAATATTCCTATTCTAGGAAGTAGACAATGAAGCATTTAGGGGTGAAAGGCATGCAACTCTCAGAAAGTCAAGGAAAAAATGTACATGTATGTGCATGTACAAACATAAATGTACATGTACATATGACCAAGGCATGCAGAGTCCCTGTAAAGGAATGGACAAACAGGTACACCTGGGTAAGGAGTACAGTTCTTTGTACTCCTTTTCCTGAAATCTATGTAAGTTTGAAATTATTTCTAAATAGAACCGGCAGTTATGATACCAGTTAAGACTCTCACGTCTCAGAGTATGCAAGGTTTAAATCCCAGCCCAGCTCACATTTCCAGCTTTCTGCTAATGGCCTGGGAGGCAGGAGGTCAGAGCTCAAGCACCTGGGTCCCTGCCACCCATGTGGGAGACCCAAATTAAATTCCTGCTTTGGTCTGGCCTGGCCAGCTGCTGAGGAGTGAATCAACGCATGAGACATGTACCTCTGGTCTCTAACTTCCAAGTAAATTAAAGCAAAGCAAAAAAAACAAAAAACAAAAAACAAAAGGAAAACTATCCAGCTAGCCAAACAAAAGCCTACAGCTCCATTCAAGGTGTACATCTCATTCACCACTGCATTTCCAGAGCCTGAAACAGTATGCTCAAATATCTGTTCAATGATGAATCAAGTTTACTATACTAAGCCAATTTACCTAATATGATCCGTTTGGGTCAAACATTATTCTTCCAACTCAAGAAAAAACACATAAATGAGACTTTTAGCTGCATTCTGTCCTCTGCCTCTTCCACCCCACTGCTAACCCCCATGTCCTAGAGCAGCAGAGACCACTTACAATAGGAAATTTTGTGAATGCTTAAGAAAAAAAAAAAAACAGGCTTAGATCACTTCAGATACACTTTTTTCTAGCCTGCCCCTTTCAGAATATCCTAAATCTGAAGTGCCAAGAGATTCTATCAGATTAACAATCTTACGCTTTAATTTAAAGTGTAAATTACTTTAAAATTCAATGTTAATTTAACATTTTTTTCTGAAGATTTGAATTATCTTTTTGATCAGGGTAAATATTACCTACCATCTTCCAGTAACACAATCTATAATCTATATATAAGCCAGAGAAATTCCACTAGATGAATACTATGACAAGTTACTCATTGAAGCTTTGAGGCAACACTGTTCAATAACAATACAACCCAAGGCATATGTATAATTTTAAATGCTCTAGTGGTCATGTTAAAAAAATACAAGCAGCTGCAGCTGGTGAAGTGGCACATAGGCTAATCCTCCACCTGCAGCGCCAGCATCCCATATGGGTGACAGTTCATGTCCTGGCCACTCCACTTCTCATCCAACTCTCTTGCTGTGGCCTGAGAAAACAGTGGAAGATGGCCCAAGGTCTCAGAACCTTGCATCCACATGGGAGACCCAAAGGAAACTCCTGGCTCCTGGTCTCTGGCTTTGGATCAGCCCAGCTTGGTGTTGGAGACACTTAGGGAGTAAACTAGCAGATGGAAAAATCTGTCTCTCTAATTCCTTCTACTAAAATAACTGAATTTTCCTGTAAATTCTGCCTTTCAAAAATAAACCTTAAAAAAAGGTGAAACTAATTTTAACATTTAGCCCACCACATTAAAAATGTTAACATACCCAATATGGTGGCACAGAGCGGTAAGCCCCTACTTGGGCTCCCTCATTTTCTATCCCAGTGCCTAGTTAGCAGTCCCAGCTACTTTGCTTCTGATCCAGCTTCTGGCTTCATATCCTACGAGGCAGCAGATGAAGGTTCAAGTACCTGGGTTCCTGCCACCAATGTGACTTGAGCAGAGTTCCCCACTTTAGCATGGCCCAGCCCAGGCCAGCTCTGGTGGTAAAAGTGAACTGCTTTCACTTTTACTTTCCCTATCCACTGCCCCCACCCCCTCCACCTCACTTTTGCAGAGACTGGGCAAGTTCAGGGTGGTATGGCTGTAGGCCACCTTACTTGTTCAAATAATACTAAAAAAAAAAAAAAATAAATAAAACAGGTGAGGGACCTGGGAGGCAGCAGAGGACAGCCCAAAGCCTTGGGACCCAACATTTGCGTGGAAGACCTGGAAGAAGCTCTTGGTTTTGGATTGGCTCAACTCTGACAGTTATGGCCATTTGGGGAGTTGGATCAGCAGATGGAAGATAGATCAATTCTCTGTCTCTCCCCCTCCCTACCTCAGTCCCCCATCTCTCCTTCTCTCTGTAAATTCTGCCTTTCAAAGAAAAACCTGAAAAAAAGATGGAATTTTACCATTTTAGTCCACCACATTAAAAATGTTGTTTTAGCATATAACCAGCAGAAGAAAATCACTTGTTCTATTGTATTTTGGGAAGACCACACCATCAATGGTAATGAACCATATATTTCTCTCTCAAAAAAAAAAGAAAGAAAAAAATAGAAAAAAAAAATGTTTAAATGTTTCACCATAAAGAAATATTACATATTGGAGAAAGTAGATATGTTTGCCTTGACTGGACATTATGCAATGTATACATATGTACAGAAATATCACATAGTACCCCAAGGATACATGTAATCTTGTATCTACTTTAAATTTAATTAAAAAAATTAATGGAGCCAGCATTGTGTAGTAGTATGTTAGGCTTCTCCCTGTGGTGCCAGCATCCCATAAGGGCACTGGGTCAAGTCCTCATTACTCCATTTCCAATCCAGTTCCCTGCTTATGGCCTGGTAGAGCAACAAAGGATGGCTCAAGTCTTTGAATCCTGCACCCATATGAGAGACCTGGGGAAATTTCCAGGCTCCTGGTTTAAGACTGTCCCAGTTCTGGTGATCGTGGCCATTTGGAAAGTGAACCAGTAAATGGAAGATCAGCTAACTGGTTGATTGATCTCTCTGTCTTTCTTCCCCTCTATAACCCTGCCTTTCAAATAAAAACAAATCTTTAAAAATTAAGATCAGCAGGATCTTGAAAAGGTTCATGAAAACACATTATAAAAATACTATACATGGATTTAAAAAATGTTTATAGCAAAAAAAAGTGCTTGTCTTTCAACTTTTCCACAAGATTTCTGAAGTACTTTCATATTTACACAATTTCTCTTCAAAGCCTTTGCATTTAGGTGTGGATTTTAGTTGTGCATGTCTCACTTCAGACAGGCCTCACTGCCAGTGCTCAGCAGTCACCTGTAGTTAGTGGCTGCTTTACTGCATAGTACAGCTCTGAGGCTTTCAGATCTCCTTTGAAATAACAGGCTAAGACCTGTAGCTCTCACATTCCTTAATTCAGCGTCTCCTTTGAAAGTGCACAGTTGCCTAGGCAGAGGGCCTAGCACAGACTTGGTATTCAATAGATTATGTATTATGTAAAATGAAAAAAAAATCCTGAATTTAATGGCGAGAATGATCTTAACTAATCAAATCTGTTTGTATTAAGAGAAATAACAGCTTTCCTACTTGGAAAATAGAAGTCAATATTTGAAACTATACCCATATTCAAATATCTCAAAAAAATCTTAATTGAATCTTCAAAAAGAACTCTTGAAATACCCAAGGCTCAATACACGCTTTCCTAGTGGCTCTAAAATGGGGTTTCATTCAACTAGCAGTCTTAATTACAAGTCTTCAAAATACAAGGGCAACACAAAAGTCTTTACAAGAAAGAAGAAAAGGTTATGAGTCAACAAGGACAGACAGGTTTCAGGTGACAAGAACACCCGGCTACCTATACTTCGGTGTCACTGGAAACCACCAGCACTCAGCCAGCTCCAGCAGCCCTCCGGGTCCTCACTACTATGCTACCAAGGGTCCAAGTTACTATTAATTCTAGCAATATTAGTACATATTACTCATTGCACACCTGTGCCCTCAGGAGTAGCTATGACGATATCCGCTTCACAAAGAAGAAAACAGAGAACGAGTACAGCTGAATCATGACGCAATCCAAGTCTCCTTTCTCCGAAGTCTGTTCTTTCCTGCTCTGTCGCCAGTTCATACACATCATGGAGCATTCTCAGGAGACATTCTCAATGATGAGTACCCTTTTTTCACTGGTTGGGGAAATAACACAGCAAAACCATACTGCTTTGTTATCCAAGTAAGGAGTTAATGCAGGCATGTGGGGACGCAGTGGTTGGGAAGGGAGATTAATTGCATTAGCTGATTTGGAACATATAAGAAGCCAAGTTAAAAAGAAGTTGTCTTTTTCTTTAATAGCTACAAACATGTTCCTTAAAAATTTACTCATATAATCGAGCATCACAGTGAAGAAGAGAAATCTAAGGACCACAATAGCCAGGGCTGCACCAGCCCAAATCCAGGAGTTTCACCTGGAAATTACACAGAGGTATAGGGGCTCTAAGTGTTTGAGCTGCCTTCCACTGCTTTCCAAGGTGCATTAAAAGGAAGCTGAATCACAAGTAGAGCAGCCAGAACATCAACCAGTGCCCATATGGGCCTCCAGTGTCACTGGCAGTGGCTCAACCTGCTATACCACAACACCAGCCCTAGACAGTCACCTTGAAAAAGCTAAGTATCTTGCAAATCAAAGCCAGTAACTTACACACTCACCAAGATTACTGCCATGTGAAAAGATCATCATTTATAGACCAGTTTTTCACAACAGGAATCTAAACTGATAATATATATATATAGTCATATAATATATATATTGTCAAGGGCTTGGCACAATGACTCAGTTGGCTAATCCTCCCACTTCAACACCAGGATCCCACAAAGGCACTGCTTCTTGTCTTGGCTGTTCCACTTCTCATCCAGTTCCCTGCTTGTGGCCTAGGAAAAGCAGTGTGTGTGGGGGGGTGTGGAATAACCCAAAGCCATGGGACTCTGTATCTGCAAGGGAGATCACGAAGAGGTTTGAGGTTTTAGGCTCCTGGCTCCTGGCTCCTGGCTCCTGACAATGCATTGGCTCAGCTCTGGGCATTGTGCCACCTGGAGAGTGAGCAAGTGGATCAGAGTCTTTGTTTCTCCTCTGTAAAACCTGATAAACACAAATATTTAAACACACTGTCAAGATTTTATGCAGTCTTAACAGTGGTTACAGTCTGCCCTGTAGAGAACACGAAACACTGCCATGGATAATCATTTAGAATTTCCCACTACTATGTAACATTCTCAGAGAAATTTAAAAATGTGTTGATTATAGAATGTTAAAACACTACAGCACTGTCCCAAGAGCAGGCATTTAATCGAGTGATTAAGATGCTCATTTCCCATCACAAAGTGCCCAAGTTTGACTCCTAGCTTCGGTTCCTGATTCAAGCTTTCCACCAATGTGGAGTCAATTGGGCTCTTGCCATCCACATGGGAAAGTTGAATTAAGCTCCACCCCTGGCCACTGCAGGCATTTGGAGAATGAATCAACAGACAGAACTTTTCAC